ACGAATCGCTCGGAAGAGCGATACGCTGATCCAACCCGAGACGCACTTCCGGGATAAGAGCCAAGCCAGCAGTAAATATGCCGAGGAAGACAATCACAACAGCAACCTTAATCCTGCGGTCAAGCAGGTAGTTTGCATATATTTTGCGAATAAATTGCTGCGTCAGACTTTCCCCCTCCTGATCATTGTAAGCGGGTTCTTCGAACATGCCGGATGAAGTCGCTTTGCGTACTGTAATGCATGGAATGCAATCTGCACGAAGACTCTCCACCCGCCTTTGATTCAGAGCAAGTACTGAAACAAACATCGTCATTTGCAGAATGGCATTGATGAAGACAGCACCAGCTGCATAGATGGCAAAGTTCCTGACGGCAGGCATGCCCACAAACACACCAAGCGCAAAGGCGACCGTCTCCGTCAGGGCTGAAAGGAAAATGCTGGGACCAATCCTTCCTACGGCACGAGCAACCCGCTCATCAATCTCTTCATCAGGGTGACTGACATTTATCCGCTCAAATTCATGAACGATCAGGAAGATGTTGTCCACACCGACCGCCAATACAAGGAAGGGAATGACCTCGGCGATGATCAAGGTCACCCTGATTCCTGCTGCTGAAAACAGTCCTACCGACGCAGACACGGACATAAGGACGATCAAGATTCCCACGATTCCGAGCGTGAATTTCGACTGCACAAAGACATTGGCAGGGTTGTTCAAGAGGGACTTCCAGGTGACCGTGGCTGACCCTAGAGCGAAAGACGCATAGATAAACATGATAATATAGCTGATGACGACAATCTTCGCATCGGTGTTGCTGGATTTGTTGAGTTCCTGCTCCAGGCTGACTTCAGTGTTGAATGACACACGAAGACCACGTTCTTTCGCGTCTTCTTGAACGTTATATAACAGCTGTTTGAGATTGTTCTCCCAGTCAATGGCATCGGCCTCGCTCTCCGTACCTTGGGCGTGATTGTTCAGAACCCACGTGGTAATCAACGCTTGCGCGTCGAGGACGTTGCCGGACTTTTCGTAACCACCCAGTATCATTTCAGGTCTGAGAGGCTGTTGAAAGTCAGGGAGACAGCTGGGGTCACCAGGAGAGTTGGCACAGTGCTTGACCCGCTCTTCCCATGTGTCCGGGTGGAGGTTCCATCCTGAGCCACCGAAATAGCCCGTTATTGACTGAACCACACACGCGTCGCCAGTGGGTTTAAAGCAGACGTCGTCGAGTAGTAAACCGCGGCCCGGAGAGATCATTCGACGAATTTGAGACTCAACATCAAACCACCAGCTAAGGGTGTCATAGCTCAGAACCGGGCCATGTTCGTTGACAACAAATACCTGCTCGGCTCGGTAAAAGGGTCCAAAATTGGTATCAAAGTACTCCTTTTCTTGTGCTGCCGGCGATGTAGGGCTCACCCAGAGGCGTACAGGATCTGTCTCGACAGCGAACCGGAGCCAACCCAGACTTAGAAGGCCAACGAGCACTATGCTAGTTACAATAGTGATAGCTGGGAATCGAGCGCAAGTACCCCCAATGCTATTGAACATTGAGTCAAGCATAGAGTTCAGTTTGTAAACACCAGAAGGTTGCTCCAGCGACCCAGCAGCATGAACGATATCGCCCTCATCCTCATCGTCATCGGGAGATGGGTCTTGTAGGAGCCGAACCCTCTCGGGCTTGCGATAACGCCGTTCTCTGTACGTGAAGTAACTAGAAAAGGCCACGACCGCTAGCAAGAATACGGAGTAAATCAGGATGACCGCGAAGGATAGACAAGGCAACAGGCCGACGTGGCAGTATTTGTCTGTTTTCACCTCTGGTAGCTCCGGGCAGACTCCTGGACAATCAACGCAGGAGCAGCGGAATGCCTCGTCAGGGTCATTGCAGGCCTTCGGTTTGATAGGCAAGGCTCGCATGCCCTGAGCAGGTGACGGGGGCTCTGTTTTGTAGTTGATCTGGAAAGGACTTCCAAGCAGCTTCTTGTCACCCAGGAACTTCAGGAATTGTGTGTAATTCTTCGCGCCGCCGCCGATGAAGTCGATCGCTTTGCCTCCGGAAGCACCGTTTTTGACGTTCTTGCAACTATCATAGAAGCCGCTCTGGTATTCTTCGGACCAGATATTATCAAGTTCGGTAACTAGTAACTTTCCGGAGCTGGCCTTCTCGGTTTTTGTGACATTGATGAACAGAGACTGGTCCGGAGAACAGGTAAAGGTACAGAAGATGTTGAAAAAATTGTCTTTGCACGCAGGACATGATGCAATAATGCCCTCAGCAAGCTTCAGGTTCTTGGCGAGTGCATCGATCTAGGCAGGAGAAGAACATGAGAATCGTCTCGCTTGAAGGGGTTTGGTTGGGACAATAATTCTTACCTGCTCATCTTCACAACAAACAGGCCCTTCGTTCCATTTACTACCACACAAGTTCACCAGCTTCTTCCTCGCCGATACCTCAGGCTCCCTTGCAGGACCGTTATCTGGACATGGCAGCTCTCCGCCGAAGAATGACGTTTTCCCGCAATGTCCTCGGATCGCACAGCGGCCCTCTTCATGTATCTTGGTTTCTCCTTCAGCAACTACAAGTGTGTGTGGAGGAAACGACAGCAGGCCGAGACTCGTGAGGATTGGGGTTAAGCGAAATCCCCGCATCGTCGGCACAAAGGGTGGGTGACGACTCCGGTGTCAAACACGTAGGTTTCTCGCGGTTTAATTAGAGCATTAGAAGGACGATTGGTTGGTGTAGAAAGATGCCGGGAAGCTAGATTTTATGGTGGACTCGCCGAAGAGACAGCCTTTTCTGAAGGAACAGCTTCTCGACAAGATGGTGTCGTGAGCCGAGGATAAAATAAATTCAATGGAGGACAGCGCAGTTCTTGAAATTAGCACTGCGCCAATACAAGTAACAATCAAATAAAGATTAGTCCGGCTAGTATTGAATAGTCTAAACAACAAGTGACAGTGAAGCTATTGAGAGGCTGGGGAAGAGGCGATGGGAGATGACGATAAGGAATCAAGGAACGGGAAGTTGGAGGACCTCCACTAGCCGACATACGTAAGCGGAGAAAGACTGCCATCATCCCATGATTAATGGGGTCTATCGGGCGCTAACGTCAGGCACGGCGATCCTTGGATGATCAGGAATCAGGATAGATTAATCCAATCCTTTGCATGTTGACCGAGTATTTCTGTGTTTGTATTCAGTTAGTTTTGACAAACTAGCTGGCAGTTCAAATCTTATCCAGCATTTTGAGAGGAGATTCTGCTGTAGACTTTGGAAGACAAACAGATAAGGTGGCTTGCTTTGTTGTGTACCCAGAAGTATATAATTTCCCCATTCTACTGACTAGATACTGGCAGCTTCTGATCATAGTTCTCGCCTCAGCCACATAACGTTGTGAAAGTTCTACAATGTTTTTGACTGTGGGTGGAAATAAACATCACCTGGCACAATTGTTTGACCTTGTCAGAGTATATGCCTAGAACACCAGACCACCTCCTATACTCCTGTTAGCTCCTTAATATGACCTGGACAGCCAGACGGAAGAGAAATACCATCAACAACGATATCGGCTCCATTGATATAGCTCCCCCCAATATCACTGCAAAGAAACACCACCGGTCCCGTCAACTCCTGTGGTGACCCCATCCTACGCATCGGATTCCGATCCGCCCATATCTGCCGCCATGGCGCAAGATCCTCGCCCTCGTTGAGCACCGTATCCATATATCCCGGGGAGATGGAATTGACTCGGATTCCGTATTGCGTCCATTCCGCTGCCAAGCTATTCTTCATGTGTAGCACCGCTGCCTTGGAGACGTTGTACGCGATTTGAGGCTGGGGGTAATTCACCCGATGACCGCTGATGGATGCGACGAGGACGATTTTGCCCCCGCGCCCACTGGCAATCATATGTCTGGATTCTGCGTCAGGGGGCCTAGCTCTCACAAGGGAACATGGTAGATCGTCTTACTTGCCCACTGCTTGAGCAGCGATCCATGATCCTGTCGTATTTACATCAATGACGCGGCGCCATTGCTCGATTGTTATGTCCTCGGCTGCCACGCAGTTGACTATGCCCGCAAAGCAACAGAGAATGTTAAGCTCTCCCAGTTCGTTCTTTGCCTTTTCAGCAACGTCCCGCATGCCTGCCGCGTCTGTGACGTCGCATTGATGCGTTATGATCTTCGCAGAAGGAAAGTCTCTTCGAAGTGCATCTATTTCAGCGTCTCCGTTATGGAGAGCCGAGGGAAGATCAAGTAAAGCAAGACCAGAAAGTCCATGCTCAAGAAGGGCTCGTGCAGAGGCTAGAGCGAGCATTCCTGCTCCACCAGTAACTGGATGAGAGTAAGATATCACCTAATCTTGACTCGTGGAAATCAAAGGGGGTAGGACCAACACACTGCGTTTCCGCTCACTCTGAATCTCAAAGCTGCTCGCTGCTCCGGCGTGCTTGTCTCTGGGAATGAGGCCGGTGGAGGCGTTAGAGTGCTAGCTGCGTCGATTTCTCCGAGCCGTATCCATGGCATCTTTGTTTGCACATGAGGTGTTGGAGGGAGAGGCACTTCTTTCTTGGATGCAGTCATGGTCAACGGATTTACTGATAGTACTGAATTCTGTAAGGAAGGATTCACAAGGAGCTTCAATAGGAATTGCAACCTACCTATCTATAGTGTTGCGGAGAAGGGAAAGAGAGGAGTAGCTACCCCGCGCATGATCAACTCTGCACGCGCAAATGCATTTTTATCCCATTTATTTCATTGATTGTAGCTCCATCTTCGGACTGCAGTGCCCCGAGCATGCCCAAGTCGTTAAGCTTTGCCTATGCGAGTCCAGTACGCAAGTCTGCCCTGTGATTGGGGGTAGTGTCTACTACAGAGTCGACAGCTTCGACGTATATCTTTCACGTCGACTAGAAAATTCTACAATGGCATTCTCAGTGGCTACTTATCAAGAACAGATCTACCAGAACAACGTACACCGTCTATCTTCTCGAGCTCACTTCCCATCTACCTTCCTTCTCTTCGCCCCCTTCTTCGGACCAAACTCCTCAGAATAAGACCGGAAGAAGTCTGCCGGCTGCTGGGGCTCATCCGAAGTGACGTCGCGGAATGCCGTCGTTGCAACATAGTTCGTCTTGCCCTCACGGACGAGCGAATAGTATTCGAGTATGAACTGAATCTCACTGTCGTCGGTATCCGTCTGGCTCCTGAGGACCTTCTTGGCTTCATATCTGTGGTCTGTGAGCCCCAATTTCAATAGAGGATTAACGGGAACAACTAGAGACATACTCAGAAATATCTTCGAACTTCATATCCGTTCCTAGAGCTTCACTTGCCGCTCGCGCTAGTTCGTCGCCGTTGAGAAGTGCCGGGCCTGTCGTGTCAATGTCTTTTCACTTGATAATGATAGCAATGGCGCCGCCATACCAGTCAAGGTCATTAGTTGACCACGATGCTTATCGTTGAGTCCATGCTTTCCTTTGCCGGTGAGGACATGAGCCGCTAGTAGAGCGACGTCCTTGGCAGTGGTTTAGCCAGAGGTCTTTGTGCGGCGGAGAGCCAGACTTACACCTAGTGCCACTGGGGGAAATTTATGCTCGCGTCCGATCGGTATAGGGATGTATCCCTCCTCCTTAGCCTGGGGGGCATACGCAAGCAAGTTCTCGGCGTAGAAACCAGCCCTACAACCGGTATCATTAGACATGCAAAACGCAATCTCAAGGAGCAACCTACCGGATGACAACAGGACAATGCCCTGTCATCGAGCTCGGATCCCCCTTCGTGCTCAGGAACAGAGTCTCGAGATGAATAAACTCTCTCAGACGGGGCTGCTTATCCCTCTCAGCGAGATCACATCCCGCAGCACTCAGGAAGACCACATTCGGCACATTGGCGCGCTTGGCCGCCTCGATCATCTCGGCCGTGATATCGATCTTGTCCCGACTAGCTGGCGGGACCAGGCAGAGAGTGTCGGCTTTGGTGTCTCTGATGTCGGCGGCGACGTTCTTCAGACGGCCTGGTCTATGGGGGACGATGGTGGCCCCTAGAGATTGTAGGTCCTTGCACCGCTGAGCATCTGGATTGAGGGTTAGGCCGTGGACGGTGCCGATTTCTTTAGAGAAGTTCTCATCAGAGAGGAGGAGCTCGGCGATGAGGAAACCCGTGTTGCCTTCTACGGAGGTGATGCAGACGTTGCGCGACATAGTGAGCTGTGGTGGCTTGGACTGCTGGGGATATGTTATGGAGATATACTGGTGTTATACTGGTGTTATGCTGCGGTGATGCGAACGTAATATGGCTTTTATACAACGTGACTACCTGCGTCATGGTAATATAATGATTAAGATGTGCTTCCAGGCAGAGATTCGGGATACAGATGCTGGCCAATGAAAAGCTTTTCCGGATAGTCTGCGGGCATGACCTAATAGCTGATTACGGTTCTCGAGACAAGACGAGACTCGCATCGCTGCATAAAACTTCTTACGCGGAGTTCGTAGAGACCTCCCAGCCCAGTCAGGCGGACTGTGGACTATGAATCTACAATCCTGGAAGACGTGCAGGGACGGCCGCTCTCATATCTCTATGCAGACTTGTGAGTCAATCCGGCTTCGCCTTCGCTCATGATGATTTATCATGAGCCGTCATGTAGACGAATGCCAAGCCTTGCGCCTCCCAAGGTCGCATAGCCCGCTAATGGCCATGGACCCATCGATGAAAAGGCATAGGAAGGATTTGCTCTTGCTTCAAAGCTCCCAGCTTCATGTTCACAGACCGTATGAAACCGGATCTGAGAACATCTGCGGAAGATGAGAGATAAAAGCGACAGCCTCTTTGAAAATGTTTCCCCTTTGAGTGGGCGATGCATCTACACGACCAACATCTGGCAAAAGTTGCATATAACACCTATGGTCCTCTGTTGCAGAAAACCAGAAGACCCTATGATGAGAAGATTGCCATTAGAATAGATTATAACACGTGAGGAAGTTATGGAGGATGTAACTCATGGAGATATCATGTCACCAGTATCTGCACAACCACAATCTACGTATGGCCAACTTCCATGCCTCGGAACATCAGTCAAAATGATGATCTGTGTCGCCAATACTCCAGTTAGCCATAGGAACGAACAGGCAAAGTAGAAATGTTGTGAAACAAAAACGCAAAACCCGATGCCCAATTGATTTCATCACAAATGGAACATTGGACACTTTGTGACAGACAGACTAGTAGGCGTCCTCATCTGCTTGCTGATACACATGGCGTGCCCTGGAGGGATCTTTGCGCATCTGTTGGCCGGAGCCAGTAAAGCCCACTATGCAAACACAAATTAGTGAATCACTTTCAGATCTAAAAATAATGGTGCCTTACCTCGGGAATTAACCCCCTCTCCTGTCCGAAACATGCTCTCTTTCCGGCCCAGCTTGCTCTTGCTAGCGAAATCCTTCCACTTCATCTTACCGGCCTCAAGCTCGCGAGTGGCCTTGACTTTTCGGGCCACCTTCGAAGGGCGTGCAGACGCATCGCCGACCTTGCTAGGCTCTTTGCGCGCCTGATTTGCCAATGCAGGGTTGATATCTGCCGCGGCCGAGATGACACTAGAATGAAGGGGTTGTGGGGTTGGAGTCTGGGATGAAGAGTAGCCTGAGCTTCCATCAGCCTTACGTTTCCGCGAATCAGCGTTGGAGATGGGCTTGATGTCTTTGGCTGTCAGAGATTCAACCGTTCCGTACGACTTGAACGAGACCAAGTAGACAGGGTTGGCAGATGAGCCTGTTATTGAGGTAATGCGCGCAGGATAGAAAGAGTTATCGCCCGAAACCCATCGCGCGAGGACGTGGTCATTGACGGAGAACGTAACCGGTGTGGGGGCTTCCTCCGGAGTTTCGGCAGTGGGCTTGCGATACCCAGCCTGATAAGCAGGGTGGTTCTCTTTTGACCATTTCTCCTTCGCTGGCTGAGGAGAAGGTTTGGCAGCAGACGGAGGAGGAGCAAGCGGCTTGAGTTCGGCGATGGAGGTTTCCGTGAGATTTATGAGTTCTTCCAGCTCAGTTTTAAGACTCTGCAGTTCCGTGTTATCTGGATCTACCTGCAAACTCGATTGAACGGTTTCAAGCTGAAAGGGAGAGAAAAAGTCAGTTACCGAACCGTCGCATGGTAGACGGCAATACGACATACCTGAAGCTTGAATTCCTTGACTTCTGCCTCAAGAGCTGCAACATCCGACATGTTCGCTGACTGATGTGAAATGTGATGAGAGAAATAGAATTTTAACAAAAAAGACGAACAGAATCTTCCAAGTGTATCACTGTGCTCACTAAGAGCTTTTATGGTTGCAGATTAAGATAAACGAATGCAGCTTTCCAGATGAGTGGTTCTGAACAGAGGCAACATGGAGTAGGTATGGTGCATGAGGTTAGTGGATTCTTTGCAGATAAGGATAGCACGTGACTAGTCCTCCTTATCAAGCTGTGAAGATCATCATTGTCAAGACTCAGAAGTCCATTTGAGTGGGACGAACAAATACGCAGAGAGATTTGATGCATTACTCCACCTTTATCCTCTGGGTCAGACTAATATGTCGGACGAGTAGATACAGTAGTGATGTCAAGAAAAGGACATCACTTAATCATTCCATGAGTTTCAGATGATAGGTGGCATTACCAGTTCTCACCTGGGCCACCTCATGACTGAAATCTACACGCTACTATCCATTATTGATATTGTTGAGAAGACAAAGGAGAAACTAAGATAGCCAAGACATTCTATTTTGTCAAGCCCTGATTTGGAGTAGGGGCGCGGAATACAGCATCTAGTCATTTCCCTGCCCAGTGATCAAGACCTAGATAGCACTACTCCGTGCCCAGCAACCCAATTTCAATCGCCACTGAAATCTTAAATGGACTTGAATACGAGGCAGTAAATCATGGATTAATCAATGGACATATTTGATGGGAGTAAGACACCGCAAAGCCTAGATTCTCTGATGACTGTTTTGAGTGTTCTGGATGTTCTCGAATAGCTGGTGATAGAGATATGCCTTCTCCTGGCATAGGTCAACCTTACTCTGCACCTGCTTAATGCTTCAGAGTTCAGCCACTACACCGATATTCGGAACGTTGGGATCGTCACAAGTAAGGTACTTTTGGTGCAGTAGTGTATGCAAGGCGGTGGGAAACCGGGAATATGAACTGGCGAGGACTGACTATGAGTCATGCCTGATAGATTGATTATGAACTAAGCAAGCAAGTTGAGTTTCCCCGGTTGAAAGAGGGACCATTGCAGGGAAATAGCTAGACAGCTTCTGATTGAGCATTTCCATGGACTATCGACTGAACTAGAAGGCTGGAACTAAATAAAATGGCGCGTGGAACTTCATCGGCACGGAGAGAATCAATATCCGGCCGGATGTGATTTCTAAGCACCGAGTCACTCAATTTTTCCGCTCTAAAGCAGCGGGAGACATCAGATACAACCATTGGCTCCCGTCTATCAGCTGGCCGTTGCTCAACCAATAAGGACTGTCAACAATTGACGCTGCCTTTTTGCGCCCGTTTGCCCCCCATCGTCCTATGGAAACATCCACCGTAAGACTGGCCTGAGGCGTTGATTGATTGCCTTGTGAACCGTCCATCGCCGCCCCGTCTTCTTGGAAAGTGGAAAATGATGGGCTTCGGTTTCATCCTCGTTCCACCTCCCCTCTCAGCCACATCTCTCTCACTACACCTACTCTCATCGTCAGAATCCCCTGTCTCAATTCCCACTTCGAATCTCTTCATCTCCGCAGGCTTCTTCCTGGCCTGAAATCAATCACTCATATCCAACGACCTATTCTCAATCGGACCCTGATTTGCCTCTTTCGGCAGCCCCTCATCGCCAGCTATCAAGCGGTACCGCCGCGCCATTCCACCCTATACGACATCCTTCCATCTGACACTAGGCCACTAGGCCGCACTCTGGCATCAGCTCTTGGCTCCTGCAACCTTTATCTTAATCTCACCACCTTTTCTTGACCCTTTCGCTACTACTGTCTTCCTCGTCAACTCTCCTCCAGTCATCAATTCTTTCGCTCATATCTTTGTATCTCATTCGACTCGCTTGGAGAGCGTGGAACCCGCTTTACTGTGTCCTTTTCTGGTTCTCCCCCACTCCCTTTGTCTTTACATCGACGGGATTGATGCCTTGTTGAAGCGGGGTGGAATCGTAAGAGCTTTGGTGGCCTTTCCGTCTTCATCAGCAATTACAAACCCAGCACTTTGACACATTTCTTGGGCTCTCTATCGAAACGATAAACGGGCTTGGAGCCCGGGCCTTTTCTGGTTGAGGACACCAATAAGCTAACAAACTCAACACTGCATTGTATTTGAACAAGCCGTCAACGGGTCAAACTATCACTCTCAATTGACCTGGATCATCCTACCGTTATTCACAGCGATACCCCGCTTCGTTTTCAGCTGCCATGGCGGACTACAATACTCTTTATCAACAAGGTCTTTATCTCTCCCCCGATCAACAGGACCTCCTCCTCGCAGCTCTTTCATCGAACAACCAGACTCAGAAACAACAAACAGTGACGCACAACTCCGAAGCCAATCAGAATCTCAATGACACACCCGGCCATGCTTCTTCCGGCAGCTTCAGTGTTTCTCCCCCCAGTGGTTTGGACGGCTCAGTGAATCAGTCAACTACTTTCGGCTACGAAGATAGTCCTTACCTGGATTTGAATCCCGACTTCGACCTTGATTTTCTGGGCAACGAGAGCTTGATTGGTGATCTGCCCCCGAGCCTGCCTTCGACTGAAGACTATGAACCTGGTGATAAGAGAAAGGATATCGATGGACAAGAAAATGACAAAGAGGAGTCGGGCAAGAAACGACGGGAGAGCGATGAGAAAGCAGCCAAGAAGCCTGGTAGAAAGCCACTGACCTCGGAACCCACTTCGGTATGTTTTCTGTGATCCTTTTTCTTCCGTGCAGGTCAATGTGTAGATAATTTGACCTTCGGGGGCGCTAACATTTTCGACAGAAGCGCAAGGCTCAGAACCGCGCAGCTCAGCGAGCCTTCCGTGAGCGCAAAGAAAAGCACCTGAAGGATCTGGAGGCCAAGGTGGAGGAGCTACAGAAAGCATCTGATAATGCTAACCAGGAGAACGGACTTCTGCGCGCCCAGGTGGAGCGTCTGCAAGTAGAGCTCAAGGAGTATCGCA